TCGTGCAATTAACCCAATTCAAGTTTTGTGCAAAAACGCATGTTCGCACCGGCTCGCCTGGTGCGTTCCAGCCTACGTTTGCATGTGTCCTCATCTAATCGGTAAAGCAACTTATCGTCGAGTGGCAATTTTCGGTAGTGATTATGCTCAGCACGTAGCAACGACAGCTCGAAAAGCTTGTCACCAAAGCGCTTCTGTCGGGGGAGTCGCTGAGCTGCTATTCCCTTCGAGAGAAAAGACTAATGTCAAAATCACCAGCAGGTTGACCAATGGGCAATACACTATTGATCAGAGAAGTTGCAAAAGTACTTTATTTTTCGAGAGCAGGACTATGAATTATTATTAATCGCATGCCATATCAAGACCTTTTATGGTGTAGTTGCATTGTAAAAATGGTTGTCAAAAGCATGTATGGCGCTTTTTGCAGCCCTTTACAAAATTTATAAGTACATGAGTGATGAATTTTTAATACATGGCAAACGTTTTTGGACCGTCTCAAATTGTTCCGAACCTTTACAAATTCTAATGGCATTTTTTGAGCAGAAGAAAAATTTCTTGTTGCTCTGATTCTTCTGGAAAAGCACTTCTATTTACATTTTGTGCTTTGCTATAAAAATGTTTTATACGACTGATTCTTCTGAAAACATTTCTATTCTGAATTCTTTGCTTTTCATACCATTTCCTCATAATGTTTTCAAATTATTTTCTGTGATATATCTAGCAAGTGAAGGTTTCCAGATGCAGAAAGGCTTGTCAAAACGGTTTCAGCTCTCATACTGTTAATGAATGTGTATTATTGGCTCTGTTCATGAATTTTCAGTACGGTTTTATTGGTTCATGGCATCGTGTTCTCGACAGTCTTTAATAAATCACAAAGAATTAGTACAAAACTTCAAGATTTACAGTTTTGGTTCACATTGTTTCAGTCAGTTTTTTTTACAGATGTAATTCGCAGTATGGTTACAAAAGATATGTCACGATGGTTCATATTCACAGCCAGCCTATTACATGTTGCGGCGTGTGGACTTTATACTGACGTTAGTATGCTACTTCACATACCTAGTATTTTAATAATTCAATTCTGTTTCTTCCAACCACTGCCATTTGAAGAGAAATGTTGCAGAAAATCATAGAAAATTTGGAGCAGCAAGCTGCTGTGGAGAATTATACTGAAATAATGAAAAGGATTGGTTCATTTGTTGAAACAAGTGAAATCAAAGTTCGCAGCAATGACGAAATCCTTGACAAATTAAATGTATGCTTTTAAATATAATAGAGCTTTTGATCTGACACTAATACACTAAAATATGTGGAGGTATGCTAGAGGAAAAATGTCGATTACGATAGTGTGCAATCCGCTTGATGGCAAATAATACAGTTATGAACGGAGACGCTTGTTGAAGATTGCTATGGACAAAAGCGGAATCGAACCACCACCTTTCACATCCTGACGCGATGTGCTGCCCATTAAACCACCAGCTCTTTCACATTTCAACAACATCTTGGTGACATATTTATGGTATATCTGCCTTTGAAGGCAGAATTCGCCATTCGTTTCTTCTCTGCTCCTCATGAGTAATTCTATATTTTCATTTTTTTTGCCAGTTTTTGAGTTATTTTTCGGAAAGTTTTTGTTTAGAAAACATCAGACGTACAATTGCCACTAGGGAAAAGAGGAAAAGGGAGAGAGACTTAATTACTGCATAAAATTAATTTCTTGAAATCCTATTCATTAATCGTTGAATTCAATATGTTTCTCGCACACACCTGTTTTTTTTCCTCAAGTTGATCAGGCTCGAGAAAAATTTTTTCAACCAGCGATTCATGCCGAAAGGACAATGGTGAAATATTTTTAGAGGTTACATACGAATTATCCTCACATAACGTACATGTACGATATTGGGAGGTCGGTCAAATCAAGACCGTTAACTGTGCTGGCTATTGGGATCTTCCCGGACAGGCATTATCCAGGTGTACCGGAATTCAAATACGTGGCGAATATTCATGGAAACGAGGTAAGACTGCCTGAACATCCAGATAGTGAGCAAGCGCTTTTTTGTAGACAGAACTAGAAAGACGTCAGTTTGGGATAGAGGTTTTTTTGTCTGAACTAGGGATGGG